TTAAAGCCATAGAAGATCCGTTGCTTTAAAGAATCAAGGGAACTCCACATTTTCAATCTCTCCAGTGTCTAGGTCAGTAACACGGTGCGAGGAAGAAGTAGTAGATGAAGAATTGGTGGGGAATAGAGAAGGAGGGGACTGGGGATTTCAAAGGAGCTGAGAGGAGCTAGGAGTCTGACTCCCTTGGGGTGTTATTGGGATTTGAGTGCCTAACTCCCTTGGGCAGCTTTGGAAATCCCAACCAAGATCACAAGCAGGGCGTGCGGGGAAAAGACAGAGACACAGAGAGAGTCAGGACTCACACACTCACACTGTGTTGTGTCTGTTGCTCTTTATACAACACGGGGGAACCACACGGTGGGAGCTGAGTTCCGAACAGCTGGATGAAGACGTACAGTGTCTGGCTACTTACCTCCACTGCTTCTCTGGCAGGGTCTGGCGGCTTCTGCAGCAGAAGACAAGGGAGACCGCTAGAGGCTCCCATACTATTTATGTAGGGTTAATACCCGATCCCTGCACATCACAGAGCGCGAACCTTTCTGTGTCTGCGTCCTGCGAACTAGAATTGGTTACAGGTGTCGGCGGAGGTTTGCAGCCCGGGGCTCACACACTTCAGCCGACTCGCCCGAGCTGTCCGAGCTCCGTTGGGTCAGCGGCTGAACTGGAGATTTTTGATACCTTCCAAATGATTAAATGTGTCTTCCTAGCGCTGGCCCTGGCGCCGTTTGAGTTTGTGTGTGTCTCTGTGTGTGTGACTGTTCGCATTTCTCTGTGTTTGGCTGTGACGGGGGCGGCAGAAAAAGCCTTTGCTCTTTGGGCGTCACATTCAGTGATTATTTTGGACTCTCCCACCCTTGTTCTAGGTGCACTTTCCCAGCTGCAGCTAGTGGCCTCCGGCCCTGGGGTGGGCAAAGTCACCGAGCCCCTCACAGTGACCTGCTCCCATCCCATCCCATGTTCCCCCCATATTTGCCTGATCCCACTGGCTCTGTGAGCCCCATTCCCTCCTCCCCTCTGCCAGGGTCCCCGTTCTCTCCCCACCCATTCCCCCAGCGTGTGGGCCCCTCCCACGCCCCCAGCCTGGACCCACCTGCCCTTCCCCCCTCCCTAGTGATGCCAAAGGGGCAGCAGCAGGGAGAGAAAGGGGGCGCCCGGCACAGTCACGCCAGAGCCCCTCGGCCCTGCGCCTCTTAAAGAGACAGTGACAGAGGTTAGAACAATTGGCCCGTCCTGACCTCCGCTCCACCTTCGCTAGGGAGCAGCATCGCGCGCAGGGCGCTACTGAGTGTCACTGTTGTGTGTGTTGCAGGGGCTAGAGAGAGAGACTGCGCGCGCACACACAGATGGGGACACACACAGAGACAGACACAATAAGACGGGCACAGACACTCGGATCCAGAGGCGGACACACACGCACACTGACATAGGCAGGCACACACACATACACACATACACACACACACAGAGCTTTTCCCACGGCAGCTCCGGATCCCCCGTTCACAGAGAAGCTGCCGTCACCCCCCGGCACTTCATTTCCCCCCAGAAGTCGAATCGGTGACGGAGGTTCATTGGTTTCCCCCGAGTGGTTACAGAAATGCCGGGATCTCTATGGCTGTGTCTCTGCGCGCTGCCGCTGTTCCCAGGTGAGCTCCGGGCGGAGGGGCCGGGGTCTGTCTATGGGACTTTCCTCGCCCCGTGACTCCCTCTCAATTTCCCCCCTTCTAGGTTCGGTGGCGGGGAACTCGCTGACCCAGATCCCGGCTTCCCTGCCAGCCACGGAAGGGCAGCGGGTGGAGATCAGGTGTCAATACAGCACCTCCTACACCAGCTACACCCTGGACTGGTACCAGGAGCTGCCGGGGAAGCAACCCCTGTTCCTGATGCGCAGATACTCCGGTGGCTCGGAGCGCAAATCCGGTTCGGTGGCACCTCGATTCTCGTCCCAGCTGGACAAAGGAGTGAAATCATTCAAACTAACCGTAGACGGGGCGCAGCGGGCTGACTCGGCGGTGTATTTCTGCGCTCTCTGGGATCCACCGTGATACAGAGCGCACCGAGCTCCCGACACAAACTGCCGGAGCGGGGGAGGGGCAGGTGTCTGAAAGGCGGTTCAGTGTAATTCGAGCTCTCAGCCCAAGTAGACACGTTGGGAGACACACTTCAGCCCTCCTGGAAAAACAGTTTTGGCGGACGTGGGCTCCACGAAGGAAATGAGACGCTTTGCAATCTAAGTAGCTACGACACACGGAAGAAACAACACACCCTGAATGTTAGAGATGGGCAGCTGAGGGGCAGAGGCGCGAAGTGACTTGGCCGAGGTGACACAGTGAGAGGGCAGGGGCAAGGAACTGGGCTGGGAAGGAGATGTCTTGGTTCTATTAGCATCTCTGCAACAGTCCTGGGACCTCCTCCAGTGAAGGCGGATGAGTCATGTAATCTTACCTTAACCTAGAGGGTGCATCACTCATAAAAACTGATACTAAGCCCAGCTTGTGGGAAGCAGACATAGCAGTGAGTGTATCTTGTCCCGCAGTAATGGAAAATTTAGGACGGGTTGTCCCTCAGTAAATACAATCCATCGGAGAAGTATTTCAGTTACTTCCCCGCTTCGCTTCTCCATGGGAGTTATTTATAACTGAGCTCTAGGCCAGTAGCCGCCAGATCCCACAGCACAGACCTTAGCCGGATCTCAGGGGCAGCGAGATGAGGTCGGAGCCAGATTTCAGTGGCCTGCAGCTGAAATGTCACCACCAGCGCAGGGATTTGTTCTTGCAGCTCTCGCCAGTTTTACTGCGATGGGAACTGGGAATCCCACCCGCAGCTTGTACCGTGTGTCGCGGCCCCGTGTGCGATTGGAGCTCAGTGGAGACACGAAGTGAGAGACAGTCTCTGCCCGAGGAACTTACAAAGACATT